ACCTCCTCCTTCACAAACATACTCAAAACTAACTTTTACAAACTCATCTCCTCCACATAACTGACTCCTCAGACACAATTTATTCGTATTATTATAGTTATTATTTTTTTATTATTACTATTATCATCATAATTATTATTACTAGTAGTAGTAGTAGTAGAAGTGTAACTTCAAAACTTTTATCATTTAACTTTATTGTAAACCTATCTATTGCAATGTATATTTTCACATTAAAAAGCTCTGAAAAATGAACAGTATCATCATCGTCAACAGATTTTTTAAGCTTAATGTCAAAGATGTACACTTTTCATTAGATTTATCTTATTTTTTCCATTTATTTTTTGTGTGTTGAAATGCAACAACTGTTTAAACACTTTTAAGGGAAAAAAACATATTTAATATGTTTTTATACACTCAAATGTTAGGGTGATGATCATGTGTAAAACATTAGTTCAGCATGTCCTCTAACACAGCAAATGAACAAACGGCCAGATCTCAGGAGGGACCGTTTATGTAAAAATAATTTTTATACTTTTGACTAGGCCTGGGAAAGTAACAAATTTTGCTGGACGATATTTTGTCCAACAAATTGTTGATGATAAACGATATCATTGCCAACATTATCTAGACCAAAATAACCACTAATATAATGTTAATATATCATAATAATGCAAGTACACCCTTTAAAATGCAACAAATAAACCTTCATTTAACATTGAAATGTCCAGAACCAGAACTTCTAAATGAATAAAAATAACAAACAAAAATTAAATAAAAAAGGAATCTCACTCCCTGTTAGAAAATGTTGCACCAAAAACAATTAAAAAAGACCCAAAACAATAAATACAATGGCCTATCCATTGTCAACAGCCAAAACTGCACTTCAATAATGATAATAAATAAAAATAATAATAGAGTTGTACATTTTTTAACTTTGATATATATATATATATATATATATATATATATATATATATATATATATATATATATTGAGGATGGAAAAATTATTGAGATGGGCACGTGACGTGTCAAGGGGTCTTTACATAACACCCCCCACCCCAAATCCGCACAAGCCTGCTGTGTCCCCCCCACTTCTGAAATCAAAATTTCGTCCCTGGGCACAGCATCGAGGATCGATGCAGGTGCAACAATTAGAATTTCAAACAGGCTGGATTACGGAAACACAGATTACCATGTGTGTATCCTGATGTGTGTGTGCATGGAAAGTAGTCATTCATTGCTATAGGACCTGGTGAGCATGAAGCTTTATTCCCTTTGAAGCACACAGTCCCTCTTTGATGTCTGCTACACGCTGATCATTTATTTATCTTGTCTGAGTCTTCCTCTCCAAGTGGTGTGTGCCGTAGAGACTGTGTTTCTCAAAGTCAAACTCCGTATCCATGCCAATGAAAGAACTTTCTGTTGTTTTATTTTCTCTGTTCACCCATGGCTTTGTTGTTTTGCCATATATTACGCATGGAAACTGCTTGGGCATTGCAGAAATAACCCCCTCGTTTTGAGTCACAGTTCTCCCCACACATGAGATGATTTCCAAACACAATGCTGATTGGACGTGGTTGAAGACAGACCCTAATGAATCACGCCTCTGGAGGGTTGGTGGGGTGACATAGTCATTGCTTCCTGAGTCATAAGGGGAATAATATGGTTAGAATGTAACCTACGCCCCGCAGCTTATCATTAAAAACCGCCTCCTGGCCCTTCTTAAAATACCCCGAATGCAAGGGGAGGGGTATCTGAAGAATTCCTCTGTATAACTATGACAGCACAATCTTTTTCTTTATTGTTTGGTTTAACAGATTTTTTCTAATGGCTCCAGTCAAAGGGGATAAAAAACATAAGCATGTTTAACCCCATCCTGAATTACACATGACTCAGTAACCCCTAACTTTAAGTGATGGAAGCTCAAGTCCAAGGGCAGGGCGGCAGTTTTTCAGGCACAGGAATTTGATTTGTGGAGGGAATGATAATTAATCAAAGAGAAGAGATAAAAATGTTTAATTAATTCCACAAAGACATGCGGGTTAAATTTGAGGACTCTTAAGGCGTAAACATCTCTAATTAAGAGGAAAAAAAGGCTCAGATTCGGTGTTCGTGTTTCACTTGCAAGACTTTTACTTTGCATTAAACACACTTCAGCACACATGCTCGACTAAAAATAGCTGAGCAGTAAAGATAAGTGCAACTCCAATCTTCAGAGTGATCCAGAGATGGCTTTAAAAGGCTTGGAATGAAAAAACTCTGATAATAAATCTCTGTCACCTTATTAATCAGGTCTGTTGGATTCATCCTCAGCCAAACTCCCAGAAACGCGAACCTAGACCCTAAACTTATTTTACCTAAAACAGTCAGCAGCAACTTATCCTGTCATAAACATCTGTGTGCCTGTCTCCAGCATGAAAACATTTATCAGTGTTTAATAAAGCAACAGTTAATGTGCCCTTGAGTTTCTTTAGGCATATACTGGTGGGACGGGTCCTTCCTGGCTGGGCCAGCTGGCACGAGAGTGCTGCTGGCTTCAGTCCAGCTGGATGTACTGCTGCTAATGTTGTATCCCAGCAGTTACCCCACATTGCTATTTAAAACAGCCATTCTAATTGTTTTAAAATCCCTAAATTTCTCTGAAGACATTGTGTCAAATAATCAGCTCATGGGTCACCTAAGTGATAAAGTCAGAGTCATTTCTAAGAGAGGTTCTAAAGTTTATATAAAAGAAATGTATTTTTAATAAATATAATTTTTAATGAAATGTTACTCATTTGTGTTTGCTACACTTGACGATATTGCCACCTATTTGAATCCATACACAAACTAAGAAATACAACGATATGTGTGTTTATGCTAAGTTGAGCTAAGCTTCATGGCTGATGTGTCAAACATCAACATATAACCCAAACATGAGACTATTGATGCATAATTTATAATTAATTTAATATGTATCGAAATGGCTAAACACAAAAGTTTTGTTTTGATAATTAAATGGAGACTTTGCGGTTTTGGCTTACTTTTAGCACCATCATACATTGGTGATCTTCTTAGTCCCTACACCCCCAACAGGTCCCTGAGGTCCAGTCATCAAAGCCTACTGGTTGTGCAGCACACCAGGCTAAAGACCAAAGGTGACAGATCATTTGCTGCTGTGGCCCCCAGACTCTGGACCTCTCTCCCTTCTGAGCCTGAGATCAGTGGACTCCTTTAAAAAGCAGCTGAAATCTCACCTGTTCAAGCTGGCTTTGGTGTGACGTTCATCACCCTCTCCTTGTTCTGCTCTCCCCACCTATTCCACCTTCCTCAGGATCCACTGATTTCCCTCTTTCCTACTGACTCACTCTCTTTCTTTACATTTTTAATCACAATAGTCTATTTTTTGCTCATTTTAAATATATTTTTAATCATTTTCTAAATTTTTTAAATATTTTTACATTTTTTGTTTTTGTGAAGCGCCTCGTGATTTTTATCTTGAGAGGCGCTATAGAAAAGATATTTTCTTCTTCTTCTCCTTCTTCTTCTTCTTCTTCTAGAGTCCAGTTAGAAAAACCAAAAGTGAAACCTATCTCCTCGCCGTGCGTTCCCCTTTTTAACACCTTAAGCTGAAATGTCTCCTCAGTCTTCATTAGTTTCTACAGGAGCGGTTCATCACTAAAGTAAACAAATCAATTGTGCTCACCATCTAAAACATGCAGGAAACGTGCTGGAACCAGATTCTAGCACCAGGCAGCTCCACTTCACTTCAAGTTCAACAGGGAGCAGACTGGCACTCTGAAGTTGCAAGTGCAACATTCTGGCCAGAGAGGGCGGTGGAGGTCTCACTGACATTTAATTAACCCTGTGAAGGGTTATTTTAGCACAAATTAGTTAAAAAAAAACTTCAAAAATAAGAAAAAGTTGTAACAGCTGTATTACTGTCATTATTGTTACTATTAGTAGTAGGAGCGGGTTTAATAACCGTCTGGCTGTCATGAACTATTTCAAATAAAAATAACAAAAATCCACTGTTACCAGGACTTAGTTTCCAATTTAAGCTTCCAGCTTGCAGCTGTTGCTGCACTGAGCGACATTAGAGTGCTAATGCTCCCATGTGCATTAGCGCAGCTTAGCAAGGTGCAAATATTCTATAGCTGCTCGTTTTCACAGCTTAAAGAAAAGAAAAATAGCTGCTGTTTATCATCCATATTTAATTTAATCCCTTTTAACTGCATCCCTGAGAGGGGATTTCTGGTGGAAACAAACACATGCAACAAAAGATTCTTACACGTGCAAAGAACATTTTTCCTGTTTGATGAAAGCACTGAAGAACATGTAGGTTACGAGGCCGGTAATGTAGTTCTTTCTTGCATTTCACGTTTTAATCACTTTTTTATTTTTTACACCATTGAAAGCACTGAGAAGTTACAGACTGAAGTAAAAGTCATGTTCTGCCTAAAATCATTAAAGCTTCAAAGAAGTTCTTGTGAGGACAAGCTCAAACAACGATCGGTATTCCAATTAGCTCTCACGTAGTCCGTCCAAGTTCTTCAAGAAAGTTTTCAAAGCAAAATCGTGAATTAAACGAACAAGCCTTTGCAGCATATGAGACATCTAAATTGCAATTAAGTATCTCAGGTTGTGTCTAACTACAGGTGACGGACTTCAAACGTTCAATTACACAGTTGAGTCAGCCTTTAGATATCCTAGACCAGAACAAATACCTTCTGCTATTCTGCTCCAAAACACACTTCAATCTGTGAAGAGAACTACAATCATTTTACCTCATTTGATTCAGTCAAGTGAAATATTAAAATTAGAGCATGCTGGAAAAATCCTAAATTCATAAAAGGTACCTGAGAAATAAAGCGAAGGTCTCCCAAAGAGAGATAACAAAGTTAGGTTCTGAATTTGCAAGACATAGAAAAGGGTGAATGGAAATGTAATTACTGCAGTGATGAACTGAACAAAGTGATTAAAGAAGGCACGAGCTGTGGAGAGGAGAGCGGCCGTACCTTTGATGTGAGTCCAGTCAGACCACAAGTCAACTGAAGACAGATGTATCTCTGTTGGAGTCAAGTCGTTCGTTCAGTCGACCGGAGCAGATCTGTGGGATTAAAAAAAGATGTTTAATGAACACAGAGAAACTACTAGCATGAAATATTTATGTAATGAAAACTAATGCATAAAATACTTTCACACCTGCAATGTTCTTTCAATAAATAAAATCTACAGGAATTTGTCAGTACTGCTGCAAGTGTTAGTTTCAGATCCACTCCTGTTTTCTGGTTCACTTTTCTAAATATACCCAACAAATTAGTTCTTATCACCACCTCACCTCAGCAAATACGACTTTTAAAAGCTTTTAACCCATTAAAAGGTAATGAGGGAGTCCTGTTCCACTGTTTTTATGCTATGGTGTGTCTCAGTTCACCTTTAAACACATTCAAGTAACAAAGCGCTTGTGGCCAAATCGTGTTTCTTTAAAGCCCCATTCTGCAAATTTTACCCTTTAATAAGCCTCACATCAAAGCGCTGAGCCTGGCAGAACATGGCGCAGCAAACTGAACCAAGACCGGCAACAACAGGTCAGTCAGCCATGATGCTCCTGTTGGTTGGTTTCCGCTTAACTGGCTGTTAACTGTTAAGGGGTGTCAATAACCGGTTAAAACATTTTGGAAAACATGCATCGCTAGCAAGATGCCCAACACTGGTCAAGAATACACCAGTAAATTCAGAAAGATGTTGGGACCACTACAATCATACATCCATGCTTTCAATCATGTTGGTTTGATTTCCATGGACAAGCAAACATATCGCCTGTTGAGTGTCTGTAGCCAATCATAAAGCAAGATAACAAAAGCACGATGCAATCTCCAAAGTCACGTTTCATCTTGCAAGATTTTCCATCTGACCAGGAAAATCAGTTTATGTGCAGTGTGTTGTATTTGCCCAGTTGCTGCACACCACACACTGTAGGACAAAACTGTTGATCTTTATTACCATGTGTAGGTTTCGTGCTCTGAAATGTAAAAGTCCTGCTGTGTAAATCTGGCTTTAGCTAATGTTAGCGATACTGCTGTGTCTTGCAAAAATAAATTAAAGTGAAAGTGCATTCCTGGAGCTATCATAGTTTGCTTTTAGGGGAATCCAAGATGAATTAGTTTGAGTTTCTTCTCATGTCTTAATCAGCAAGCCAAGGTTTTGGTTCTCTCGCTCATTATTTTCTTTAGAAGAAATTCCTTCTTGAAAAGCTTAAATCAATTCAACAACCACACAAAGTAGCATTTTATAGTAATTCAGTCGATATTTTTCCCCCTTAGCTCTGACTATGTCTAGTCACAAAACCTAAGGTAGGCTTAGGCTCATTTGAACCACAAAGACTCTCCCGGAAAGTTCTCCCATTTTTAAAGCCTGAGAAACGTCTTAATGTAAAAGTGTCATATGATACGAGTGCTGAAATAAAAGTTTAATCAGTTTGTCTCTAAACACCAACAGCCTTTAAAAGCCCAACAGAATACCTAATATTCATTAAAAGAGTGATTTTTACACTAGCTGAAGTAATAAGAACAGATTCAGGCAAAAAGACTTCTCATGGAGAACAAGACTAATGATCACTTCTTCACTAAATACCAGAGCTGGAAGGTTGTCCGGTCGATATTTGATTCTTCTTAATGAGGCAACACTTACTCAATACTTTCAACACACCCGTTTCTCAGGCTGACCTCAGTGTTCTCACTGTAACACTGGAGAAATATATAAACATCACAAGCACACAGAAAGATAAAGGCCACTGTCCAATACTGTGGTACAAATTGGTTTTGATGCATCATGCCGTGTGATGAGTCACTCAGCCGTGCATACCAACCTGTCCAGATACTCTTCCTCCTTTGATGGCTGAGGAAACACAAAGCCAGCCAGCCGAAGCGCCGGACGGACTGCCTCCTAGAGAAGATGCCACTGATGATGACATCAAACAGTCCTGCTCTCACACTTCCTTGCAGCAAGACGTTCATTTATGGTTTTATTTTAATAGAACGAAACCGCTGCTTAAAAACTCCCTTACACCTTGAGAAATATTTAATCATAAGTTGAATAGATTTGAAATAAATGCAAGGTTCATCAACAGTTCATCTTGAATATGAGCTGGTTTAACACTGAAGTCACTTTGATTAGTTTCTTATTATAAAATAAATTAGGCATAAAAAAATAAAGTGTCATTTTAATGTAAAACACTGATTTTTTCTAAAGTTAAACATTTTAAACACATTTCGTTACAATGTTTCTTAATAATGAAACACTAAATTGAAAAGGAAACTGTTGTAAGAGAAATCTTAAAGGTGTATGATGTAAGAATGACATCCTGTGGTCAAATGTGGGTACTGCAGTCCATGTATCATAACAAACAAGTCTTCTCTCAGCTGTTGCCACATACGGACCAGAAGATTTTTGATGACGAGTCATTCACAACAACTTGATAAGTAGATAGATACATTTCACCATAATTTTTAGTTGTTAGTGCGGCGCATCCGCCTCCAGTGTGCCCCAGGCTTTAGGATCTTTACTAAACATTGTTGTGCTTTGCTGGCCGGTGTCAAATTACCATCACTGGTACATCAGCATTTGTCAGTGCTGACTTGGCAACCCCATGGGCTCAAATACGATTGTCTCTGGAACCAGGAAGTATGGAGGGAGGACAGAATGTAAACAGAGACTAAGTCCCTCTTTGGCCTTTTTGAAAGGAGAAAAACTGACAGTAGCATGTACTGTCTGTCTCTGTGGATTCTAGAGGAGGCCTTGCACGGCTCCTGAGTGGAGATTATATTGACTCGCAGTCACGGCTCACAATTTCATCCTGATTAACTCCTCTTTAATTTCTATTTAAAGTGATGCAACACTTAAGCAATTGTTGGGTCAGCAGCACAACAAGCTGGTCTGGGAATGAGAGGATTGATGGCAGGTGATGATAAATGAATAAATAATGCACCCGCTGCCCTTAGCTAATGCTGCTTAACCTCACGCCCGATCCTGTGGAGCTGACCGGAGGTTAACAGCAGGAAACTGTGATTATGCGAATGGCAGCTGAGGGTTTGTGTGGCTAAAGAGCTGTTGGTGATTAGCCATCTATGACAGAACGCTGATGCATTGCTCCATCATTGGAGGAAGAAAGATGTGCAAAAGAGTGAGTATAGTTAAAAAGACATTGTTTCAGGATTAAATGTTCAACCTGCTCCTACAACGGGTAAACAGATGCATAAAAAACATTCTCGCATGCCTCTACAGGCAAAGTCCAATAAGCCTTTTCTTTTACATTTATTTACATTCGACTTTGCTCTGTGGATCATGTTGACTCCTTCACTACTGAGCCATGTGTGTGCAGAACTCTCAAGCAATATTTGTGTTTCATATCTGCTCCTGAGTCTTCACTTGCTGCCCATTTATGCAGACAACTGCATATTTTATCTTGACTTGTCCCCTTCCACAACTGTTAGGAAAGGACCCCAGTGTAACTCTGTGATTAATAATGAATGTAGAGCGAGGCTTTTGAGGCAAGGTGACGTGCTGACAGCCTGGGGAATGCTACACCCTGATCAAGGTCTTTTCTTAGCCACCAGCACCCCACTGCACTCATACAGACAGAGCTGCAGTAAAGCTTGCAGGTTGGCTGACTGTTGGACTACCATGCAGATCGGTGACCTTCAAAGTGATTTTCTCACTTGAATAGAAGACATAACGTTTCGTGATTCTCAAAATAACCACATGGAAAAATCGTGTTAATTATTCTTATGACTAGGGCTGCCAACGTTTGCATTATTCCGTGTGTGTGTGTGTGTGTGTGTGTGTGTGTGTGTGTGTGTGTGTGTGTGTGTGTGTGTGTGTGTGTGTGTGTGTGTGTGTGTGTGTGTGTGTGTGTTGGAGGGGGTAGTTATGTTACATTCCACCATCGCCTATGAGAGGGCTCATTGGGTGGGCATCCCTCTGTAATAGTGAGTGGAAGGGGGGTCAACTGCTCTTTCAGCGCAAGAAGTTGGGGGTGGGGAATGAGAGCATGTGAAGGCAGTCAGATGCATGCATCATGCTTATCACGATCAATTAGGGGTTGTATCAACTAGTCGACTTCACTGCTCTGTAGTGACTTTTTATGCCTTTCATAGACCACTAGTCATTGTCACGTGATAATGACCGACAAGATGCAGTCCTCGGAAAAGACAGCAGGTCATGAGCCCCTGCGCGTTGGGAGGCAACGCGCTGTGTCAGAGCGTCGGTCTCTGACACCTGCAGACATTTGACCGAATTGTGACCTTTACCCTCTTGCAATTTAACCTTCCCCTCACCCCCATCCTAATCTTAACCAGCTTGTGCATGCAAAGCTCTGATTGTTGACACGCTCCAGACATCTGCGTCCTGAGCACGGCCACAGTAACATTATCAAATTAGGTGTCGCCACCTCAAAAACAAATTTAACACGTGATCGTTCATGTCGGCTCATTTCCTTTTATGTTTTCTGTCTTTTATTTGTGCCTGATGCGTTTTGCTGCTGTGGAGCGGGGCGCATCACCTGTTTTGTCCTCCTGTGACGCACCTCACCGGTGCGGTCGCTCACTCCGCTGTTTTTGCGGTCGGTAGATCTTTTAGAACTGCAGTTTAAAGGTAACTCATAAGGTGAATATATATGAAGCCAGGTAGCTGTTTTCCTTTAGGATTGAGAGGAGATGCAGGAATAGAAACAGGACAGAAAAATAGTCAAATAAAAACAAGTTTGTTTTTGTACCTGGTGGTTGCAACAAACAGACACCACTGAATGTAATCAGAAGTGAGGAACAGAAAATTAAATAATTATTTTATTGTTTAGAGCAGCAGAGACTCTGAGAGGCTGTAGGCGCATCAGTGAATTTACGGCCGCTGCGCGCGTGGGGTGGGATGGGGGTGGGGACTGAAGCAGGGAACAGTAAAGATGCAGAAACTAGCGTTGTTAAAAGAAATGTGTTTAACTTTGAAAATGTGGGCGCAATTTTAATTGTCAAAAACTCCAGCGAACCAACCCACTTCAGGTGTATGCCGTCATCAACGACTAGTCAACGTCGACTCGATTTTCATTACTTGACT